GGGAATGTGGCTGTGTCTGGATGTGGGTACTGTCAGGATGTGGTACTGTGAGGGTGTGGCACTGTGAGGGTGTGTGCACTGTGAGGGTGTGGCACTGGGAGGGTGTGGTCCTGTGAGGGTGTGGCAGTGTCTGATGTGGTACTGTCAGGATGTGGTACTGTGAGGTGTGGGCACTGTGAGGGTGTCCTGTGCAGTGACTGGATGTGGTACTGTCAGATGTGGTACTGTGAGGGTGTGGCACTGTGAGGGTGTGGCAGTGAGAAAATGTGGCAGTGTCAAGATGTGGTACTGTGAGGATGTGGTACTGTGAGATGTGGCACTGTGAGGATGTGGTACTGTGAAGGTGTGGTACTTTGAGGGTGTGGCACTGTGAGTGTGGCAGTGAGAGAATGTGGCAGTGTCAGGATGTGGTACTGTGAAGGTGTGGTACTGTGAGGGTGTGGTACTGTGAGGGTGTGGCAGTGAGAAAATGTGGCAGTGTCAAGATGTGGTACTGTGAGGATGTGGTACTGTGAGGATGTGGCACTGTGAGGATGTGGTGCTGTGAGGATGTGGCACTGTGAGGATGTGGCACTGTGAGGGTGTTGCACTGTGAGGGTGTGGTAGTGTGAGGATGTGGCAGTGTGAGTGTGCGGTACTATGAGGATGTGGCACTGAGGGGATGTGGCACTGTCTGGCCACACCTTTAACCACGACGCCTGTGCCCTGTCAATACCATCTTACCACAAACAAGTACTTCGTTACTCCACCTACCACCATATCGTCACCACCTACTACCACCACCACCTACCACCATCTCGTCACCACCACCACCACCACCACCACCTACCACCATCTCGTCACCACCAGCACCTAACCGGTCTTGTTGTGGCAGAGAAAGCGGGAGAAACCCAGGGCGAGAGTTGCGATGCTTGAACTGGCTGGTTGAGAAGAATATTGTGTAGTTAGTCGACTGTGAAGCCGACATCCGGCAGCTCTGCAGACCGGATACTAAACATGATTAGTTAGGGAATATCCGGCAGTGGACGGCTCCAGAGTCCGACAGGGAAGAGGTCGGTTCAGGTGACCCCGTGGCGGAGGACGGGGAAAGGTTATATCCGGAAGGGAAGAGGAAGGGAGGGAGGAAAGAAGAAGGGAGGGACAGAGGAAGGGAGGGAAGAAGAAGGGAGGGACAAAGGAAGGGATAGAGGAAGAGATGGATTGAGGAAGGGTGGAGGGAATGGATTGAGGGAGAGAAGAGGAAAGGAGGCATTCAGGGAGGGAAGAAGGGAGGGAGGGATGGAGGGAGAGCAGTAAAAGTGTGTGCCTGGAGACTTGGCTTACGGTTATACCCATTACCGAGAGTGTGACACTAGAGGGGATGGGAGAAGAGAGGGAGGAAAAGAGAGGAGGAGAGAAGGAGAGAGGGAAAGAAAGGAGGGGGAAAGGAGAGAGGGAAAGAAAGGAGGAGAGAAGGAAAGAGGGAAAGAAAAAGAGATAAGGAGGAACGAAGGAAAGGGAAAGAACGGTGGAACAAAGAAAGAAGTGAGGCAGATGAAACGAAGGAAAGCAAAAAAACAAAAAAGAGGGCGAAAGAAGAAGAAACGGAGGGTGGGTTAGGTTGAGATTAAAATCCGGGACTCGCCTTGATATACTGTATCTGACGGAGGACCTGGAGGTATACATACACCATCATCCCCTGTTTTAACGACACACAATGTTCACTTCGTCGATGTCGTGTGCGTGTGTGTGTGTGTGTGTGTGTCTAAATAATACAGCGAGGGAGAACAGCACTGAAACTCACAACTAGACTCTCAAAGACTCAACCACACAGATATACGAACATTAGTGTCACCAGTACAGGGAATCCTTTCATCACCTTCACCTTCAGAAAACCCGCATCATTTAGATATTTTGACAGAAGCTATCCCGGGTGGTTTTATCCTCCAAAGGCTTCAAAAAAGTCTTAACTACATCAATGGTGCACGACAAAGTATACATTACAGTGATATACATAAATACAGGATAATAATGCTCACTACAGGGATCATGGTTACTCTCTCTGATGAATAAGATACGAGGAGGGCCTTCACTCAGCCTGTAAGGGAGTCACTCGTGGCTGACACACTCTGTGACGGATCAAAGCTGCCCAGGATCACAGGACAAGGCTGTCCTCCCCCCCCCCCTTTCTCCTCCTGCAGCTGCCGCCGACTCTACTGCTATTCACCAATACACAAAACACTAACTGGACTAGGATTGGACGCATAATGCCTGGTGACATTCACTGCTATGGCTGGTGACAATTGTATCTCTGGCTGGTAGAAAAAAATGGTGAAAAGTGGGAGGAGGAGGAGGAAGAGGAGGAGGCAGTTTGTCACCAGGAAGCAGGAGGAGATTGACTCAAGTGGGGAGGTTTCCTTCTGGTGATAGGAGATGTCTGGGCTGTCCCGCTGTCCTCCACCACATGACAAATTACTGCTGTCGCTCGCCTCTCTCCCCCCTAACCTCCCGGTAGTATCTGTTCTCTCTGTCCATCAACCAGCGGTGACTGTCCAAAACTAATGAAGTAAACATCCTTTGTCTCGGTGCAGTGTGGTATATTAAAGTTTGGTGCAATTAGTTTAGAGGAGTTAGTGGACAGTTAGGCAAGGTTAGGTTATTCAAGAGTTAATGGACAGTTGCTGTGATTGTCCAGTAACAGTCAGAGGACAACCTTGGTGTGACTGTATAACAACTACCTTCAGAGAGTTTCACAGAAATGTACAGTCGGGGTCAGAAATTCGTGATACAATCTGGCCAGAGGTTGACGAGGCCGTACCCTTACTACACGGCGAGTCGCTGTGGTAAATGCAATGAAAGTGAAATATAAGAGAAAGGTTAAAAAAAAAAAAAGAGAACATAAGAAAATAGGGAGTCTGCAATAGGCCGGTTGGCCTGTGCATGGCAGCTCCTGAGGAGAGTTACTACCACTCTATCATCCATGAATCTATCTAGCCTCCTTTTAAAACTCTCCAGCGTTCCAGCACTTACTACAAAGTTGCTAAGCATGTTCCACTCGTCCACCACCCTATTTGTGAACCAGTTCCTTCCTATCTCCCTCCTAAACCTAAACTTATCCAACTTAAATCCGTTGCTACGAGTCCTATCCTGCTCGGATATTATAAGAACTTTATATCGCCCTTATTGATTCCTTTCACCCACTTAAATACTTCTATCATATCTCCCCGCACTCTTCGTCTTTCTAGAGAATGCAACTTTTGTTTCTTTTACCTATCTTGATATGGAAGGTTTCTAAGTCCCGGAATCATTTTCGTCATTCTTCGCTGCACCGACTCCAGTGAATTGCTATCCATTCTATAATAGGGGCACTAGAATTGAACCGCATAATCGAGGTGCGGCCTGACTAACGCAAGATATAGTTGCAATAAGACCTCTGCACTCTTATTACTTACACTTCTAGATATAATACCTTATACTCTGATTGCCTTATTTCGAATATTAATACACTGTCTTCTAGGCCGTAGGTCCAGGCTTACAAGTACCCCCATGTCTCTTTCACAAGTCGACCTTTCTAGGTTGATGTTGTTAAGGCTGTATAAGTTGACAATATTTGTTCTTCCAATATTAAGTACGCTGCACTTGCTGGTGTTCAATTTCATTTGCCATTTCTCTGACCACTCCTGCAATTTATTTAAATCCTCCTGTAATGCATTTGCATCCTGCCCTGAATTAATCTGCCGCCCTATTTTGATGTCAGTAGGAGAAAGAGAAAACGACAGTGAGCGAGAGAGATAGACAGACGACATACTTCTGATCATCCTAGGAGCCTGCTAATCGTCATGGCTCACATGTTCTTTCAAAAATTAGGAAACGTTAAGCGATTTGCTTACGATTCAATTTCTTTATTAAATAAATGCTACAAATATATAGTTCAGCAAGAAAACAAATATTATGTAGACTGTAGTGGCTGACGATTGGCGAGTGTGAACTGGATGTAGTAAAGATAATAGAACAGTGGATGTAGTGTAGATAATAGTGCATTAGTTGTAGTGTAGGTGATAGTGCATTAGTTGTAGAGTAGATAATAGTGCATTAGTTGTAGTGTAGATAATAGTGCATTAGTTGTAAAGTAGATCATAGTGCATTAGTTGTAGTGTAGATAATAGTGCATTAGGTGTAGTGTAGGTGATAGTGCATTAGTTGTAATGTAGGTGATAGTGCATTAGTTGTAGTGTAGATAATAGTGCATTAGTTGTAGTGTAGGTGATAGTGCATTAGTTGTAGTGTAGATAATAGTGCATTAGTTGTAGTGTAGATAATAGTGCATTAGTTGTAGTGTAGGTGATAGTGCATTAGTTGTAGTGTAGATAATAGTGCATTAGTTGTAGTGTAGATAATAGTGCATTAGTTGTAGTGTAGATAGTGCATTAGTTGTAGTAGTATAGTAGTGTAGTGCAGTTGTAGTTAATAGTGCATTAGTTGTAGAGTAGATAATAGTGTATTAGTTGTAGTGTAGATAATAGTGCATTAGTTGTAGTGTAGATAATAGTGCATTAGTTGTAGTGTAGATAATAGTGCATGAGTTGTAGTGTAGATAATAGTGCATTAGTTGTAGTGTAGATAATAGTGCATTAGTTGTAGTGTAGATAATAGTGCATTAGTTGTAGTGTAGATAATAGTGCATTAGTTGTAGTGTAGATAATAGTGCATTAGTTGTAGTGTAGATAATAGTGCATAAGTTGTCATGTAGGTGATAGTGTAGTGATTGTAGATAACAGTGTAGTGGATATAGTGAATTATTAAACGAGAAAACAAATCATCCGCCCATTTTTCATTATTTTTAAAGGCTCATTTCCTTACGGAACGTTTCAAACACCAGAATTTATAAAACAGCCTCATTATGAGGAACACTAACATAAGAGAATAAAAAAAGAGGCCACATATCAGGTCCTCCCAATCACTAAAGCATTCATCTATGGCATCAAGCGCATCGATACATTTTATTAAGAAGATATTCATACCGAGCTGTCCGAGGTAAATGACCAATGCTAAAGTCATTACTGTTAATGACTCCCTTGTCCTCACTAAGGCGTCCCCGTAGACTGAGGCGTCCCCGTAGACTGAGGCGTCCCCGTAGACTGAGGCGTCCCCGTAGACTGAGGCGTCCCCGTAGACTGAGGCGTCCTCGTAGACTGCGGCGTCCTCGTCGTCGTCGGAGAGTGAGATATCATAGAAATCCGAGTCGTCCAGGATGGATGAGGCTGTGGAGTACACGGAGGATGAGGCTGTGGAGTACACGGAGGATGAGGAGGAGGATGAGGAGCACTTGAAGGATAAGGCTTTCTCGTAGACTGAGGCGTTCTTGGTCATAGAGGCTTCCTGGGTCCCGGAGGCCTCCTCGGTCCCGGAGGCCTCCTCGGTCCCGGAGGCCTCCTCGGTCCCGGAGGCCTCCTCGGTCCCGGAGGCCTCCTCGGTCTCGGAGGCCTCCTCGGTCACTGAGGCCTCCTCGGTCACTGAGGCCTCCTCGGTCACTGAGGCCTCCTCGGTCACTGAGGCGTCCTCGTAGACTGAGGCGTCCTCGTCGTCGTCGGAGAGTGAGATATCATAGAAATCCGAGTCGTCCAGGATGGATGAGGCTGTGGAGGACACGGGGGATGAGGAGGAGAATGAGGAGCACTTGAAGGATAAGGCTTTCTCGTAGACTGAGGCGTTCTTGGTCATAGAGGCTTCCTGGGTCCCGGAGGCCTCCTCGGTCCCGGAGGCCTCCTCGGTCCCGGAGGCCTCCTCGGTCACTGAGGCCTCCTCGGTCACTGAGGCCTCCTCGGTCTCGGAGGCCTCCTCGGTCACGTGATATATTATTCTGCCGTAGGAGTAATGTTGTCTGAGGGAAGGAAAAATCACTTCCTCTCCTTGCAGTAAGTCAGAGGCAGGGATCTTTACTTTTGACAGGGTCCGTATTCCTCTCATTAATTTTACCTTTATATTAATGTTTTCTTCGTGTGGCAATATAATTAAATTTTCGGTAAACTTCTCCTTATACAGTTTGAGGTAGCTCACAAGGACGGCATCCTTATGAGCAGCAGTTTCCTCACCAAAGTCAAGTTTCTTTGACCAGAACGGTTTTCGACAACCGGCCTTACCAAAAGTAATGTAAGTGGGAGGCTTACATTTGTTGTTTAATATACATTAGATTTCCCTTAGAGAAATCGATCGATTTTGTAAATTTTTGTTTTCCATTTTAAAGATCGAAGTACAAATCTTTTTATAACTTACATACCTACATCAAACACCTACCAACGTCTCCAATTATTGTAGCAAGATAAAAGTGAGCTTAGATACAGTACAAACGTAACAAAACTGTATTATTTGTGTGGTGTTATGTAATGTATATAGTGGTGATACAAAGTGTATGGTGATGATGTGTGTATAGTGGTAATACAAAGAGTATGGTGATGTGTGTATAGTGGTGATACAAAGAGTATGGTGATGATGTGTGTATAGTGGTGATACAAAGTGTATGGTGATGATGTGTGTGTATAGTGGTGATACAAAGAGTATGGTGATGATGTGTGTATAGTGGTGATACAAAGAGTATGGTGATGATGTGTGTATTGTGGTGATACAAAGTGTATGGTGATGATGTGTGAATAGTGGTGATACAAAGAGTATGGTGATGATGTATGTATAGTGGTGATACAAAGAGTATGGTGATGTGTGTATTGTGGTGATACAAAGTGTATGGTGATGATGTGTGAATAGTGGTGATACAAAGAGTATGGTGATGATGTGTGTATAGTGGCGATACAAAGTGTATGGTGATGATATGTGTATAGTGGTGATACAAAGTGTATGGTGATGATGTGTGTATAGTGGTGATACAAAGTGTATGGTGATGATGTTTGTATAGTGGTGATGCAAAGAGTATGGTGATGATGTGTGTATAGTGGTGATACAAAGTGTATGGTGATGATGTGTGTATAGTGGCGATACAAAGAGTATGGTGATGATGTGTGTATAGTGGTGATACAAAGTGTATGGTGATGATGTGTGTATAGTGGTGATACAAAGTGTATGGTGATGATGTGTGTATAGTGGTGACGCAATGTATATTAATGTGTGTAAGCGGTGATACAATGCAATGGTGAGGTGTGTATAGTGCTATAATACAAGCATATATTGTGATGATAATTAACCGCCATAGTATGTAGTGGTACAGTGCGTACCACAAATTTACACTGTATTGGATGATAGTGTAGATGATAGTGTAGTGGACGTAGTGTAAATGATAGTGAAGTTGATGTAGTGTAGATGATAGTGTAGTGGATGTAGTGTAGATAATAGTGTAGTGGATGTAGTGTAGATAATAGTGTAGTGGATGTAGTGTAGATGATAGTGTAGTGGATGTAGTGTAGATAATAGTGTAGTGGATGTAGTGTAGATGATAGTGTAGTGGATGTAGTGTAGATGATAGTGTAGTGGATGTAGTGTAGAGAATAGTGTAGTGGATGTAGTGTAGACAATCGTGTAGTGGATGTAGTGTAGACAATCGTGTAGTGGATGTAGTGTAGATAATAGTGTAGTGGATGTAGTGTAGATGATAGTGTAGTGGATGTAGTGTAGATAATAGTGTAGTGGATGTAGTGTAGATGATAGTGTAGTGGATGTAGTGTAGATAATAGTGTAGTGGATGTAGTGTAGATGATAGTGTAGTGGATGTAGTGTAGGTAATAGTGTAGTGGATGTAGTGTAGATGATAGTGTAGTGGATGTAGTGTAGATGATAGTGTAGTGGATGTAGTGTAGACAATCGTGTAGTGGATGTAGTGTAGACAATCGTGTAGTGGATGTAGTGTAGATAATAGTGTAGTGGATGTAGTGTAGATGATAGTGTAGTGGATGTAGTGTAGATAATAGTGTAGTGGATGTAGTGTAGATGATAGTGTAGTGGATGTAGTGTAGATAATAGTGTAGTGGATGTAGTGTAGATGATAGTGTAGTGGATGTAGTGTAGGTAATAGTGTAGTGGATGTAGTGTAGATGATAGTGTAGTGGATGTAGTGTAGATGATAGTGTAGTGGATGTAGTGTAGATGATAGTGTAGAGGATGTAGTGCAGATGATAGTGTAGTGGATGTAGTATAGATGATAGTGTAGTGGATGTAGTGTAGATAATAGTGCAGTGATGTAGTGTAGGTAATAGTGTAGTGGATGTAGTGTACGTAATAGTGTAGTGGATGTAGTGTAGATGATAGTGTAGTGGATGTAGTGTAGGTAATAGTGTAGTGGATGTAATGTAGATGATAGTGAAGGGAAGAGAAGAGCAAAGGTGAGAGAGGGAAAAACACGACCTTGGATTAAGTAGCAGCTTAAACGGGCAAGAACGGGAATGAATCAGGCGAGAGAAAGGAGAGGAAGGGATAAACAGTTAAATAGGGGGAGAAAAGTGACAAATTGAGAGAGAGCGAGAGAGATATTAGGCAGCTAAAGTCAAGAGATAATGAGAGGGGCAATTCTCGCCTGCTCATCGTTTGATCTACAACATCTTTTCTTTATACACAGGCCGGCCGAGGCGCGCGCAACGACGTGGAGGGCGCGGCAAAGGTGGTGCTGGGAATGAGAAGGGGGCGGGGGGGAGAAAGGGAGTAATATGAAGGATGGAAGAGGAGGAAGGGAGGGAAAAGAGGTGAATGGAAGGGGGTGGGAAGATTATTAGGAAGGTGAGGTGCGTTCCAATGGAAGGTGAAGAGAGTCCGTAATGAGGATGGAGTAATGAATGACGTCATGGAGTAAGAAGTGGGTGTATGGGGAGGGGTGGGAGGGGGAGGGGTGGGGAGGTGGGAGGAGGTGGGAGGTGGGAGGGGGTGGGGAGGGGTGGGGAGGTGAGTGGGGGAGGGGGGTGGGTGGGTGGGTGGGAGGGGTGGGTGGGAGGGGGAGGGTGGGAGGTGGGGAGGGGGGGTGTGGGGAGGGGGTGGGGGAGGGGGGTGGGAGGGGGGGTGGGGCAGGGGGTGGGGAGGGGTGTGTGGGAGGGGGTGGGGTGTGTGGGGGAATAGATGGGCAGAGTGGGTGAGGGTGTGGAGTGGGCGGTGGGTGGAGTGGGGTGTGTGGGTGGTGAGGGTGCAGAGGGTGTAAAGAGAGTGGTAAAGAGAGTGGGCAGAGGGGATGTGGGGAGGGGGATGTGGGGTAAGGGAGGGGGGTGGAGGGGGGGAGGGGGTGGGAGGTGGGAGGGGTGGGGAGGGGGAGGGGGTGGGGAGCTGGGGGAGTGGGGTGGGGAGGGGTGGGGAGGGGGTGGGGAGGGGGTGGGGAGGGGGAGGGGTGGGACTGGGGTGGGATTGGGGTGGGTGGGCAGGGGGGGAGTGGGGGGTGTGGGGAGGGGGGTGTGGGGAGGGGTGAGGGGTGGGAGGGTGGGGGAGGGGTGTAGGGGAGGGTGTAGGAGGGGTGGGGAGTGTGGGGAGTGGGGTGGGGAGTGGGGTGTGTGGGGAGGGGTGTGTGGGGAGGGGTGTGTGGGGGAGTGGGGTGTGGGGAGGGGTGGGGTGGGGAGTGGGGTGTGCGGAGGGGGGGGGTGGGGGAGGGGTGGGGAGGGGGTGTGTGGGGAGTGGGGTGTGTGGGGAGTGGGGTGTGCGGAGTGATGTGTGTGGTGCAACCTTGACCTATGCAGTGTGAAACTTGTAATAAACCTGTGGAAGTGGTGGTTTAAAACGTGTTATAAACTTGTGTAGTGACAATTGAAACGTGTCTTAAAACATGAGCACAAAGGTAGAGAATGAGTCCTAAACTTGAAATGAGAGAGAGAGAGAGAGAGAGAGACTGGCCAGAGGTTAGCAGGCCGTACCCTTACTTCACGGCGAGTCGCTGTGGTAAATGCAATGAAAGTGAGATAGAAGAGAAAGGTAAAAAAATAACCGAGTACATACGAACATAAGAGGGAGGAAAAGAGAGGAGGAGGGAAGGAGAGAGGGAAAGAAAGGAGGAGGGAAGGAAAGAGGGAAAGAAAGGAGGAGAGAAGGAAAGAGGGGAAGAAAAAGAGATAAGGAGGAACGAAGGAAAAGTAAAGAACGGTGGAACAAAGAAAGAAGTGAGGCAGATGAAACGAAGGAAAGCAAAACAAAAAAGAGGGCGAAAAGAAGAAACGGAGGGTGGGTTAGGTTGAGATTTTCCTTACACACTCAATTTTTTATCATTTCCAAGTCTCCATTTTCAATCCCAAATTCTCCTTTTTTCACTTTCTAACCCCCCTTTTCCCTTCCTTTCCCTACTCCCTTCCTTCTTCCTCCCTTCTCTTCCAACCCGTACTCCTCCTTTCCTACTTCCCTCCACTAGCCCTGCCCTCTTTCTCATCTCCTCCTTCCCTCCTTCTCTCATCATCACCTCTCCACTCTCCTCCTCCTCCTCCTCTAACCGTCCCCTCACGCCCCTCCGCCAGCTTCACCCTTAAGTCCTACTACTAGTTGTCAATATTGACCTGCCAAGGATACTCCTCGAAACTTATTCAAACGGCAGCTTTGATATCGGAAAACCCGAGAAAAATATCCCAGACTCTCCTATTTTTGGAATGCTAATTACGGACACTCAAGAACCTCGACAGTGTTGCAAGAATTGATTCTGCAAAAGGTAATTTCGATCATAAAAAAACCCGGCATTATTATCACTCTTCAACATAAAATAGTGCACACGATAGGAAGTTTGGTGTTGCATATTGTAGATTATATGTCCCCCCCCCCCTCCC